TTCCCACTAAAAAGAATCAGGACTCCTCTGAAAAATGGCTGATTTTTCAGGACTGAAAATGTGTAAGATAAACGTGGACATCTTTTCACAACAGAAAGCACAGAACGGGCCGGCCCGGTGGCGCACTGCGCTAGTGCGCCGCTTGGGAAGCGCGGCTGCGCTCCCGTTAATATGAATGCTAAATATAATTTCCCACTAAAAAGAATCAGGACTCCTCTGAAAAATGGCTGATTTTTCAGGACTGAAAATGCGTAAGATAAACGTGAACATCTTTTCACAACAGAAAGCACAGAACCTATCAGTAACTACTAGCTCATGACAAAAGTACTCAGAGCCAATTTGAAGAAGCTGGCCAAAAACATGAGTGTATGAACACCAAAAAAGAATAATGGCAATGGACAGAAACATAAAAGTTTTATAATTTATGAATTCATACTATATTAAAATAAAATACTCATCGGTCACTTTTCAAGGATTCTAGAGAACCAACTCATTATTTTAAAAGCCAGTTAATAAAAGGAAAGAATTAAGTATTTACCCTGCCTTTCCTATACACCTCAGGTTAACCAAACAGTTGGTGAAGGGAAGCTTTTCTTCATAGAAACTATTCTAGCAAATAAATAAAGAAATGATAGAATTAAAATACTAGCATTTTTCAATGATCCATCAATAAATTAATGAATCTAGGGAATGATCAGTGGTCACTTTCATCATAAACAAACCATTGTATTTCTCCTGATATAAGCACATAACACTATAAAGTATTCTTGCCAAAAAAAATTGAACTCGAGTCATATCAAACTTCTAGATCTAAATAAAAATTAGTTCTCAAGGAATATAGTAGACAGAGGAAAATATTTTTAAAACACCACAGCAGTGCAATCAGCAAGATCCAAAATGTGGGACACTATAGTGCAAATGTTCTGATTTCTTCAATTTGTAAGGAGGAAAAAAACAGAAAGAAAGAGAGAAGAAACCTATCAATAAAAAAAGACTTAAGAAACTTAAGAGCCTGAGTCCAGTGGGCAAACCTGAAACAACAATATAAAACAAAACAAGTATGACACCTGAGACAGTGGAGAAAATTTGAATACTGTTTATACTGGATGATGTTAAGAAATAACTTAATTTTTTAGATGTAATAATGTTGTCATCATTAACTTTCAGGGATACATACTGAAATAGTTACGGAAGATATGAAATGATTCCTGGAATCAGCTTCAAAATAATCCAGGTGCAGGGGAAAGGGAGTGAGGAGTATGTGGAGGTATAGATGAAACAAGATTGTCCAAGCATTTGTAATTGTTGAAGCTGGGTAATGGATATTAGCGAATCAGTACATGATGCTCTCTAGACCTTTGTATATGAGTATGTTGGAAATTTTGCAAAATAAAACATACAAACAAAACCAAAGGCTTCCAAAAGCAAAACAAAACAATATAAAAAGCCAACCAACCAAACAAACCCAAAGGCTTCCCATCGCCCTCAGAATACCAACAGGCCTAACATCTTTCCAACTTGATCTACCATTTTCCATTTCTTTTATTCTGCTCTGGCCAAACCAGACTTCCTGCTTGTTCTTTAAACACATAAAGTTCAGTCTTCTGGGAAAAGTTAGTTCCAGGCCATTGCATGACTATCTGCGGACTTCACTGAGGTCTCTGCTTGACTGTAACTTCCTCAGACATGCCTTCCTTGAGCAGTCGATCAAATATGTATAACACTTCTCCAGTCCCCAGCCCTGCCCTCGTCACTCCTTATTCTCTTCCTCTGCTTCATTCTTCTTCATAGTACTTATCACTACCTGACTTAACATTTGTGTTTATTGGTTTTCCCCTGACTAGAACACAAGCTCTTTGAAGGTATGGAATTGGACATTCTATAGGAATACACAACAGCAGCACTGCTCTACTTGTGTAGCAAGATATATATAACACATTTACTCTTATTTAAATCTGAATATGAATCTATGTCTATGTCCATGCCTATCTCTATATCTATATTTAACCCCTCACTGTCGCTCCAAAGCCCCAGAAATCTTCACAATCTTCCTCATAGCACCTAACCCAATGCACTGACTCAATATTTGTTGATTGATTTGAGAACTTTACTAGAGTATTTTAAGAATAATTAAATCATTATAACTGTCTAAATTCATCTAATGTCCTGCCTTAGACTATTAAGTTCTGACTGAACTTAATTTTATACAAGCATTTCTCCCAAAGTGTGTTCCTTACAGTTATACTTTTACAAAATGACTCTTTAAAAAGGTGTTCTGTGGTCAGATAACTGAGAAATACTTCAAACTATATGCCAAAGTCATGACATAGTGTATATATATATATTGAAGACTTAGAAGTTCTAAAATAAATAAGTTTGGTAAACTTAACCAGAATTTTCCAAACTTAACCACTGAATCAAACTTAACCATTTGTTGCTTAACATATATTACCACATAACAGGACAATGCTTTTATGAAATATGCTTTTAGAAATACTTTAAATAAAACATAATG